GTGGCTCCCGAGGCCACGGCAGGATGCGCTGAAGCTGAGGCGACGCTGGCCTGGACATGGTCCGTACCAGCCGTGCACCTGAGTCTGCGGCGAAGGTCCACAATGCCTTGGACTAGCCGCTCGGCCATGCGCCATGGCCAGATCTGGGCGTCGTAGCTGTTGTGGCCCTCTATGTGCACGTGCTTGTGGCGTCCTGGACATCGCAGGCTCTCGAACTGGTCCAGGATCTCCGGAGCGTTCGACACTGGCTCAGTGGCCTTCCTGAGGATGCCGCCTCGGCTGTCCTTGAGGCCGAGCTGGCACTGGTCAAAGACGATGCTCTCGACGCCCGGAGTGGCAAACACGTCCGGCCAAGGGGGCTCGGCGTAGAGCCACGAAGCCTCGGGCTGCTCGTTCACGAAGTAGCCGCCCAACTCGATCTGGATCTTGGCTAGATGGCCGCAGAATCGGCCGTGTGGCGCCGCGTCGTCGTACGACTCCTTCCAGGTGTCGTAGTTGCGCTAGTAGTTGCAGTTGGCCCACCTGCCGAAGGGCCTGCAGGTGGGCGCCATGATGATGATCATGGGCCTGTTCTGCCGCACGTAGCGCTCCACGGCGATCGGGGTCTCGCCGTCGTTGAGGTCCACGCCGACGACGAGGTCGAAGTTTTCGCCGGCCTTGAGGTGCCCCCTGACCGCCACCGTGCTGGTCCAAGCCTCACCTCCGCAGATCTCCACGATGTCCACGCCGTAGTCGAGGGTGGCGAGGTAGGTGAAGAACTTGGTGAGTGCATGGCACACGATGGTTTGAGCCACTCCGACGACGACGTCTGGCGGCGAAGAGCCGCGAAACCACCGCGTAGGCAAGCATGACACGAAGTTGCCGTAGAGGTCATCGTCGTCCTACTCGGGGCCGTCGCAGTCGCCGAGGGCAGGAAGTTCGAGGAGATAGGGTGCGAGGCCGAAAAGGTCCGTGCCGCAGTCGTCGTGGTGGTCCTCCACGTGCTGCTTCCTGGCTTTCGGCACGTGCCCCTCCTTGATATTGGCCTTCTGACGGATGCGCTCGTCCGTCAGGTATGCGGGATTGACATGGTCGCTCCTCGCACCCTGGATTCCAGGGTTTCGCATCGCAGGTTGGGACGCCTTTTCCGCCCCCATTGCTTTCCCGAAATCTCCGCCCGACTGCCCTTGCCTCGGTTCGATGGGAGGAGGAGGGGGAGGAGGCGGAGGAAGAGGAGGAGGAGGAGGAGGAGGAGGAGGAGGAGAACGAGCAGGAGCAGTAACAGGAGCAGGAGGAGGAGGAGGAGGAGGAGGGGGAGGAGGAGGAAGAGTAGGAGGTGCTGGAAGAGGAGGAGGAGGAGGAATAGGAGGAGGAGGAGGAGGAGGAGGAGGAGGAGGTGGAGGACTAGCAATAAGAAAGAGAAGAAGAAGCGGACTGAAATTCATACTATTAATGCTAATAACCACTTTAATCATAGGAACACGAATAAGAACACAACTAACAATAATGATTGTACGAGTAAGAACAAGAGTATCATCAATAAGTATAAGAAACATCACATTAATAAAACTATGCGAACACTGCTGATACTAATGATGATAAAGCATTACGAATAAGACGAATACACATACGACGAATAAGGCAATTAAGAATACTGGTAACTACAGAATCACAACACTAATTATACTAGCAGCAACAATCGTAATCATATGGCTACTAGTAGTACTTGTAATAATAACCATAATGATAATCGCAATGCTAATCAGAGTCGTGCTAACAATCCGAATCTTAATAATACTCATCGTAATACTAAAAGTAGTCGTACTAACACTACTAATAACAATCAGGGCACTAATACCAGCACCAGTACTGATACTACTACTAATATTTTTACTTATTAGTATTGGTATTCGTTTTATGAGCACTATTACTACTCATACTAATACTATGATAATACGGATAATACTATGGCTAATAACCATAACACTATTATTCATACTAATACTACAATTAATACTAATAATAAGATTAATAGTCATATGACTACTAAGAAGTAAACCGGAGGAGGAGGAGGACGACGAGGAGCAGGAGGAAGTGGAGGAGGAGGATGGGGAAAAGGGGGGAGGAGGAGGAGGAGGAGGGGGATAATGAGGAGGAGGAGGACGAGGAGGACGTGGAGGAGGAGGAGAGGAGGGAGGAGGAGCAGGAGCAGGAGAAGGAGCAGGAGGAGGAGCAGGGATGATGATGGGGAGGAGGAGGAGGAGGAGGAGGAGGAGGAGGAGGAGGAGGATGAGGAGGAGGAGGAGAAGGGGGAGGAGGAGGGCGGGAGGGCGGGAGGGTGGAGGAGGAGGAGGAGGAGGAGGAGGAGGAACAGGATACGGAGGAGCAGGAGGAGGAGCAAGGATGAGGAGGAGGAAGAGGAGGACGAGGAGGAGGAGGATGAGGATGTTGATGATGCTGATGCTGATGATGCTGCTGCTGATGATGATGATGATGATGATGCTGATGAGGATCAGGATGA